AGCATAAAAAAATAAAAGTATCATTTTTAAGGAAAATAAGCATAATTTTAAATATGATTTCCAACAACAAAAAATAATGTTTCGGTTACATACATGAAAAACAAAACAAAACGTTTCTTTCTGGATAATGCACCGATTTATCAAACTTCTGGATTCCAATTCGAACAGAGAGAAGCAGATAATAAGAAAACACGACAAGTGTCCTGGTCCTGTGCCACCTGTACCCAAAACCAAACATGCAAGACTTTACTGGTTGACACGTGTCTTCAAAAACGTTTGGAGTCTCTATCTATATATATGGCTTCACAATGCACCTTACCATTATCCAAACAAATTCCCCGACTTTATCTAAGAAATTTGAGTGAAAAAATCAGTAGCTGCTCTCAGCAATGGCCACAGTGGGAAGGAACGTGGCAGCTCCTTTGCTGTTTCTTAACTTGATCATGTACTTCATAGTTCTAGGTTTTTCTAGTTGGTGTCTGAACAGGTTCATCAATGGCCAAACTTACCACCCTAGTAAGCTCACACTTCCTATCTCTACACCTCTTTTTGTATTATTCACTTGATTGATGTTACAAAAGTACGCCCCATGGAGACTAAAACATTAAATCAAATGACCCTGCTTTCAGGTTTTGGAGGAAACGGTGCAACCATGTTTTTCTTAACCTTCTCTATACTGGCAGCGATTCTGGGCATAGTGTCAAAATTTCTGGGTGCCAATCACATGAGGACATGGAGGAGTGACAGTTTAGCATCTGCAGGAGCAGCATCGGTGGTTGCTTGGGGTGTGACTGCTCTAGCATTCGGGTAAAGCTAGCATGGGTATAATTAAGTTGAATATTTAGATAGGAAAATGATTTGAGTATGTTGCAGGTTGGCTTGCAAGGAAATAAACATAGGAGGGCACAGAGGGTGGAGGTTGAAGATAGTGGAGGCCTTCATAATCATACTCACTTTCACACAATTGTTGTACGTGTTGCTTATACACGCAGGGCTATATAGCAGCAGATATGGTCCCGGCTACCGTGACAATGACTATCCTATGGGAGCGACTACAGGAGATCCAATGCACAAGCCTGCGCCTGTTCCTGCTACTGGAACTCGTGTCTGAACTCCACTTCTCCTCTTCCATCATCATCATCTTCTATGCTACCTTTCTGCCTTTTCTTTTCTTTTCTTTCTTTTTCTCTTTTTCTTTCCATGCCTAGAGTAACGCCTTTACCTTTGTTTTTTTTCATGTCAAAAGTCCCTTTCTACCATCACATTCTGTATATCAATCAATGCTTCTAATTTTATGAAATAATTCATGACTCTCGCAATCCTGGTGAAAATTGAACATTTATAAGAGTATCATATGAATAATATAAATTAAAGATACTTGCGTAGTAAATTTTTATGAAAATAATTATGATTATGACCTTTTTATTCAAAATCCTTTCAATCAATAAATATCTTAAAACAAATCAGACAACCAGAAACTAAAGTGCATACAAATATAATTAAAGAAGTAACAAAACTATGAATGTGTGTGAGACGACATTGTCACTTCCTCACCTTACATTATTGTAACTCAATAACGAATATTCTACAATTTCAACAGCATGGAACTCAACCATTATAGTATATATGTTTGTTTATGAACAGCTCTGCTGAATCATTCTCAGCTCTCCCATAACGTTATTACCTTCACTTCCATCTTGACATTCCTTTGCAGTAGGCTTTTATTTTAAGCCACCTGATGATTGTGGTTAAGTCCTACACCAGGACAATAATATGGAAATTAATACTTTGACAGTCCTAAAAACAATACTTTGACTCTTTTAATAATATATACTAAAATTTTCAATTAAAAAATAAAATAAATATAATTAAAATATTATTATTTTAGATCGTCTTGTGTATCAACCTATCACCACTCCAAAATAGTATATATATCGTCATTCTAGACAATTATATTTATAGACATACAATTTAAAAACTGTATTTAGTCCGACCTAAACGTTTTACATCTTCTCAAAACACTCAAATCTTTCTAAAATTCAGAAAAGTCCTTCTTTTTTTTTTTTTTTGCGTTGGAGGAAACAGTGTCTCTCGTCGCTCTTTGTTCACCGCTATACTTATTTTTTTTCTTCACTCTATCTTTATATCACACTGGCGTAACTCCTTAGTTCTATACTCAATTCAACGTCATGCTTCCTTTCCTGCATTAGCTTTATGTTCATGCCATCATAAGTGGCAGATGGAAATTGTTGCCGCATGAGACATGATGAGTGTAACGTTATACACTCATTACATCCTTGTGGGTTCTTCCATGTCGGAATCAAATTCTAATTCTAAATGATAAACTTCTACAAGGTTTGAAGGATGATGATCAACTTTGGAACAATTATTTTATTTTAAACAATTATTGCCATTTAATAAAAATTACATAAAAAAGACAAAAAATAAAAATAAAAAATTATAAAATCAAAAAATGTTTTCAAGCATTTTTAAAAAATATAAGTACTTGCGATCGTTATTACTTAATATTCTCTAACCTTTTTCTAATAATCAAATATGTTTTAGTGTTTAATATTTTTTTTTCTAAATAATAATTGAAAAATATTTAAATTGTGTTTTTAAGAACTATGAGTATTCGTGTAATCATCTTAATATTCTTTTTTTTTCATTTAAAATAATTAAAAAATATTTAAATGTCATTTTAAATTTTGGATGATTTTTGTAATTAAAATATATTTAAATGTCATTTCAAACTTTGGATGATTTTTGTTTTTAAAGATATTAGTATTAGTGTGACTATATGTGTCACGAGTACTTATTACTCAGGTTCACACCTCTAAAAATTATCATAAGGATTTCTAAACAAATTTTTCAAACAATTTTTCAAATAATTATGTAATCTTGATTTCTCTATAAGCAAGATCAATCATTGTTGAGGTCAAAAAACTAAAAATATCTTTTATTTCTTTAGAATGTTATTTTTCAGAGATAATTAAACATTTTTAAAATCACATCACTTTTACGTATTTAAGTATTTAATTAAGGATACTACATTGGAAATTTAAGTATTTAATTAAGGATACTACATTGGAAAGGTAAAATGTTGATACCTTTTAGACATATAACTGATTCTAAAACCTAGAATCAAATTTTCATAGACTATATCTTTCTGTATAATTTTTCATAGTTTTTTAGAATAAACTATTGTGACATCTTCAAAATCTTTTTTTTCAAACCTGTTTTTTTAGTTTCATCGGTCCGAGTCCGATTACGATACCAAACTCGTTCACTCATGTAAACATTAACCAATATGTGACGGAAGACTTATCTCAAGCTGACTTGCGGAAATTGACATCTGAGAAGGTTGAAAGTCCAACAACTTTGTCAAAACTAAGCCCTGGGAACATCAAAGGCACGTAAAGCGAAAGTAAGAGTCAAGATGGATGAATTGTGGTTCAAACTATAGCCGCCACACGATTGAACCAAATGTATGAAAGAATAAGAAGGGTTGTTGCAGTAGTAATGTGGTAAGCGAGAGAAGGAAATACAAGCTCATGTAACTAAAACAAAGACAACTTAAAAGTAAAGTGTTTTCGTATGGGTTCTTGGCATTTCTTTTTAAATAATCTCATCTAATTAATGGGTCACACAAATCCCCTATTTTCTTCCCTCACACAGGGACAACTAGATGCAAACAAAGGCTAAAGGTTACTTTCGATTTGAATCATCCAAAGTGCTCTCATCATATACATTGTGATCCACAAACTAAGTTTGGGAAGAGACCAAGAAAGCGTTTATGTTAGGCAAACATGGCTGCATGAAAGAAGGAATTAATGCACAAATATTGTACAGAATGCAATAGTTTATATATGGATTAAATGTTGCGTATGTGATTGAATTCCTAGTACAATGGTGGATTGTATTGTACATGCTAGTAAGGTGGGACGGGATTGTACAACATTGAATATGAATATTCAAGCTTGCGCATCCCCCAATGAGAAGAAATTTTGGGAACTTCATAGGAAATGGTTCTAATGGCCTTGAGTGTCTCACAATTATATATAGAGATAACAAATATAGTATATCTTGTTGGCAAAATGTCATGCCAAAGGAGCTAATGCAAAAGCTTGATGCTTTTGTGACCATTGAAGCTTCCAAATCAATGGGAACTTGGATTATAGTCATTTACTAAAGATTGTTGGGACAACAGTTATATCTCATAACTATTGGGATACTATTGTGTAAGACCTACTACCATCTCAGACACTAGAAGAAGATTTGTATTTGAGCAAAATATTTGAGTATGTTGTCCAATGTGTCATTGTTTATCATCACCATTTGTTATTACAAATCATGTTAATTGTAAATGTTATATATATATATATATACCTTCTTAGATAGCCATGGGAGAGAGAACACCAACGTTTGAAAATACTCGAGCTTTGAAAAGGAGGATTTTGAAGATTGCATTGTCTCTTCCATTTATACTTTTTTCAATATTTTACCAATTTTATTATGATTAAAATAACAAAATGTATTTAATATTAAGAATGGATGGTTATTCAATTCTCAATCGAGACCATGCCAATTTTATAATTAAAGAAACTATTTTCTCTACTTTTAAATATGAGCTGAAATTTATTTTAAAAATATATATAAGTAAAAGCAAACTATTATATATATTTTTTTTCAAATATAAATAAATTTGAACTTATTTTTTTTATTTAGTATCACAGTTTTCGTACTAACTTCCATCTGATTTTTATTTTTACTGGTTTAATTTTTAGTATCGAGTTGAAAGATTCGTAATTTTTACATATGATTACTAACTTTCTTAATTATTGTAGTTTTTTTCCTCATGTTCTCCAAATATGGTATATAATAATAACAATAAAAGGAAGGGATATGGTGATTAAAATAGTGTAATTAATTACATAAGTATAAGAAAAAGACACTCTTCGTAACATTTAATTAGATAAGCATGATTTGTTTTGTTAATAAAGGTAGTTGATTGTTGTATTAATTAGATGGGAGAAGGAGGTAAATTTGGGTGGGTACATGGTTTTAGCATGATGATTTCCATTTGGTGGCTGAGGAACTCAAGACTGGGAATGGAAAGAGATGAACTTTACTCCTTACAAAAGAGTACTCATCCAATTCCACAGTCTAGCCACGTGCAGCTAAACTGCGTTCCACCCCACTCCGCACGTGGCAGCATTCCATAACCGATGCTCTAAATCATTCACCTACTCCGCTCTCCACACAATCCTCAACACACAAATCTCACTCTCAAATCAAACACAACACCCTAACCATCAAATTAAAACATACACATTGTACACCACAAACTCTCAACTTCATTCATTTTTCACTTCTTCACTCCACCACTCTCCACTTCAATTTCATGCCAAATCAAAACCATGTCTGACCCTTCCACCACCCCATTGCCACATCCACCACTCTTGCCTGACCCCCACCGCCAACCCCTCCACCACCACCACCACCCCGTCCCACTCATCCAGGCCGCCGCTGCCGCTGCACCACCCTCCTCCTCCTCCCTCGCTCGAGAATACCGCAAGGGCAACTGGACCATCCAAGAGACTCTCATCCTCATAACTGCCAAGAGGCTAGACGACGAACGTAGGCTCAAAACCCCACACGACCCCACCAGGCCTGCATGTAGCTCCACCGCCTCCTCCTCCGCCAGAACAAGCGGTGAGCTACGCTGGAAATGGGTCGAAAACTATTGCTGGAGCCATGGGTGCTTGAGAAGCCAGAACCAATGCAATGACAAATGGGACAACCTCCTCCGCGATTACAAAAAGGTCCGCGACTACGAGTCCAAATCACAACAACAGCAGCATCAACACTCTCACGAAATCAAACACTTCCCTTCTTATTGGACTCTAAACAAACAACAACGTAAGGAACAAAACCTCCCCTCCAACATGGTCTACGAAATCTACCACGCCATCACCGAAGTCCTTCAAAGGAAACAAACACAACCACAATCACAAACTCAAAGACAACCACAACCACAACCGCAGCCTCCGCTTGCATTAATTACAGACTCATCACCTCCACCTCTTCCACCACCTCCCCCACCACCGGTTAGCTCAACCCCTCCGGCGGTTTCAGGTATGCATTAACACTGGCATTAGCGTTAGCAATGTGCTACACAGCTCACACACACTCTCTTACACTTTTTTTTTTTTAAGTTTTCTTTTTGACAATTTTTGGATGTTGTGTTGTGTGTGGGTTATCGGTCAAACTTGCAGGGTCTGAAAACCCTGCCACACTTAATGGGACCCATTTTCCATCTTTTTTTTATCATATGGTACGATGACCTCCATGCTATTTTAAATACAACTTGGTTTACGACCGTTGGATGAAGCTGTTGAATTCATCCAACGGCGCATGAGGAGGGTGTGGCAGTGCGGTGCTATTGGTGGCATCTTACACCACGTTGCTCCACTGCACAAAGATTCTGCTCCCCATTAAAAAATTCGGGGAAAATGTTCTGGCTTCTATTTTTTTTTTTTTCATTTCTATTAATTAAAAATAACACTGAGAGAAAAATAAAGGGCGCTACAGTACAATCATGCAGACCGGTGTGTGGAAGGGTACCACCTCATGATTGTCATGGATTTTGTGGGCTGTCCAAGAAAATAGATTCTAACTCGCTTAATCCCTCTGGGTGTAATCATTAACACAATCCTTAATCCTTAATATTAACAAAATCTCAAATCTTACTCTAAATTAAACAAATAAATAAATCTTTTCCAAGTACCCAATGCATTCTCTCATCTCATAACGCAACTCATGCAAATTAAATACTCATTAAATACCTTCACATTCTATTGGGGACTTAGTCTTTGTCACATGATATTATATATCCATCCTTCCATAAAATATAATAATACCATATCATATATATAGCTCTAACAATTAATGAACCTTAATGATAGTGATGTGACGGATATTGTGATTGTGCTGTGAAACATGTTTGATTGTAGAGAGGTCGGAATCATCAGGCACGGAACACAGTGAAGATGACGCCGATGATGGGTCGGAATCAAAACGTAGAAAAGTTAAAAGTCTTGGTTCAAGCATAATGCGGAGTGCGTCCGTGCTAGCACGAGCTCTCAGGAGTTGTGAAGAAAAGAAGGAGAAGCGGCACCGTGAACTGATAGAGCTAGAGCAAAGACGTCTTCAGATGGAGGAAGCTCGCAATGAAGTTCACCGGCAAGGCATCGCCACCCTTGTTGCAGCCGTCACCAACCTTTCCGGTGCTATTCAGTCACTCATTAATTCTGAACGCAACGGCCAAAGATAATTAATTAATTAATTAATTATAATATGAAAAATATAAAAATATATTTAATTAATTAATTAATTATAATATGAAAAATATAAAAATATATATGCTTCTATGCTTAGTTGTTTATTATTATTAGCAGTAGTGAGTGATTTATTGAAAATGGTATAATATTTATTGGCCATTCTTTTCTCTCTTAAAATTCAATTGTTGTGGTATAGTTTTGAGGAGATTTGGATATGAATTAGATTGCACATGTTGTATGTGAGCTAGCTTGTATGTGAAGGATGCTCCAATTCTTTAATGACCCTAACATTGGGACAGAGTTGATATGGTTATGTATATAATTTGATTTAATTGAATTGAATTTAATTATTGTGTGAGATTTGTTTGTTTGTCTAGTTATAGAAATCCGTATGTGGTTGAAAAGAAAAAAAAGAGTGAAATGGGCATAATGGGAATGGAAGGTAAGAGGGAGAGAGGGGTTGGTGACAAGTGTGGCAGATGGCATGGCAGAGAGTGGTAATCCATTATACCGAGAATGCAATAGAATTCTACTACTTCACTAGGGACAGTCAAAGGGTCTGAGTCAATTTCTTTTGACCACATAGGACAGGAACCCCACCACTTGGGCTTGTGTACCCTACACTTCTCTTCCACACTCTCACTCTTCCTCCTCTCATATACGCCAAAACCATGATAGACTCTCCTCAATGATAAACCCAACTTCCCAAAATGCCCCTCTTCGTCCCATCTCTCTCTCTCTTCCTGCCTAGTACAGTCTACAGTCTGCCTTTCCAGCCAGCATCTTTAACTCACCAATCCTATTACTTTATCACCGACGACTACCCACGCTTTTCTTCGTATCTCTCTCCTTTTAACCTCTTTTACCAACATAACAAACACCTATTATCTTATTTTTACCATCTCTTCTACATCTCCTAATCACACCTTCCTTGCAAGTTTCAAGAGGATCACTGGATTCACTGTTAACAGGGTTTCTTTATGTACATACATACATTCTGGATATTTCCAAATATTAATAGCCAGGGAGCTACAGCCTTTTAAGCATCAAAAGGAAAATAACTCCAGGAATGAATCAAAATCATCCATCCTCTATCTAAACAGAAAAATATGAAAATATTTTACAAACTACTATTCATGCAATTATTGTTTATTTATCCTGGGTTTGAAGAAATAAAGAAAAGTGGTCACTCATCTATTTCTTTTCTTGTAATTTTTCCTTTATTAAAGGCTCTAATTTTCTACATTTTACCATTTTTTCCAATTCTTTTTTAATTTAATATTAAATATGGTTATTTAATTGTTTTCATTTTTGTTATGTTTAGGATCAGTGAAGATATCACGAGGATGATTTCTTTTTATAGATAATATAAAAGGTTTTATGATAAAACATATTATTTTGGACAAACATTAAATTTTATAATTTTGAGACTAATTGAATTTTGTTTACAATTAAAAACAAAAACTTTAAATTTCATATTAATACAAGAATTTTAAAAAATTTATACTTTAAAATTTATGTATCTTTTGTATTTTTTCCAACTCAATTGTAGTTGAATGTTGTCAACTTATTTAAAATCGAAAAATATTGTTGACATAATTCACACCAATATCAATTAAACAAATTTTAACTAATCTTGACTGAAAAATAACATAAACTTGGATGAAATAAAAAAATTTCATTATTAACTATTGTGTGATATTGATTTTTTTTTATTTGGTGGTAATTGAAATTAAAATATAAAGTTATTGCCAATGCTCCTTATTTCTACACTATGCAACTTGAATACAATGCCCTTCTTGCCAAAATGCATGGATTCCTTCTAGCAATAGGTTGCAAATGAGTTTAAATTCAAATATAATATAGATGGAAGCTTTCAAAGACACAAGGCACACTTAGTTGCCAAATAATTTCATTAAACTAAAGGTTTTTTTTTACTATCTGTGTACAACATCTTTGTTTCAAACTAAGAAATGTGCTTCTGCAATTTGGGTTTCATAATGTCAGAAGTGCATCTCTTTGTTTTATCAAATGCAACAACTTCATTATTCTTGATGTCATGTCATTTATGTACTACAACTTATTTTATTGAAGCTAAGTCACTTATTTCTAAAATTCATGTTATTTTTCTTAAAAGATCTTGCTCTTTTATGTTATTTTCATGGTGTAGAAGTGTCTTTTACTTTGAACCATAACATTCATCTTTCCCACTTGTATTCGTTTTAGAGAAAATATGTTTATGGCACCACAACCAACCCCTATGCTTTTTAATCCTTAGCTCACTACACCAATGGTTTTTCATTTGTAATGGGAAGTGACTGATATGAGATAAGGGTTTAAGAACATTTTTACAGTTTTAGTAAGTAGTCAGGTTTAATATATTTTTTTTCCTAAGACCTTGTTCTCTTTTTTCTAAAATATTCTATTCACCATTAAAGCTTAATCGAATCTAAAATCATAGTATATTTAAAACATAAATTAGATTAGATCAATTTGTGTGTAAACTCATGGATGCGAAATCGTTTTGGAAAGGTCTTTCCCAAAGGGAAAATTTTGTGTCGAAATATACCGCGAAATTTGAAAAGGTGATTTGGTCACTTCACATGTTTTGGTGCATGATGAAATTTTCATGGTGCTGGAAGAAAATGTCGTGAACTGTATATAATTCACAAAAACATGGTTAATTTTTAGAGGGTTTTTCTTGTATCTCCATAATTTTTAAATGATTGTTTTAATTTTCATAAACGTGAGTTTTAGATTACACATTTTAAAAATCTTTAGATTTTTAGAATAAACTTTCCAAAACAAGATTTCCAGAATGTTTGATGACATCTTGTAAAACGAGTTTTCTGAACAAACTTCTAACTAAACTCACTGTTTTATTCTCTTTTTCTTTGTTTTCTTCTTTTTCTTCCTCTCAAAGTCTATAAAGGTGACAGTAACAAGATCAATTCAACAAGAGAATTTCTTGCTTTCAGCATGTAGGTGCATTTAATAATCACGGCCTGCAGGAAGAAAACGCCTTTGTCGGGAAGTGGCCCACTAATATTATTGACGAAGGGCTTAATTTGGTCACATACCTATCTGGACTAGGAAATTCTTAATGAGCATGCAAATTTTAAATTGCATGTAATGAGAATTTTGTTTAATATGCAAGGTTAGAAATAGTTTAGTAATATTACGATTTCAATAATAAAATATTATTGGAGAACGTATAAATAAACACGTATGCTTTCAGGTCTAGTATTAAATTAAAGGCAGTGTTATTGAGAATCTTGAATTCGTTGCTTCATCAATGGAAAAATGAAAAATAGTATGGAAATAAAAAAATAAAAAATAGAAGGGCAAAGCACAACAGAGAAAGATGAAAAACAAAGTGAGATCCAGCCCCATATTAATGTGGATGCATTGTTTGATATAATGTGAGTGTGACAAATGTTGATGATGCAGTTGAAACAAACACAATGACACCATAACATGAGCTGGTGACAACAACAATGGTGCTCTGTTCCACATGATGTCTTTATTACTTAAAAAATACAGATTCATCGCAGTCTTCTTCTTCGCAAAAAGCTAATGGTGCCAACAATTAACTTACTCATGCTAGTACAACAAATTAAAGTTATTATATTTACAAATTTTGTCTAACTACTTTTAAAATCTAAACGTTATTTTAATTAAAAATTTTCCTTAAAATTACAAATAGTCAACTCTATGAAATTATTGATTGAAAAATGACTATAGATAATTAATTACGTCTATAATTATTCATCAATTGAAAACTCTTTTTTAAAACTAAAGTTTTTCATTAAGATAAAATTATATTTTTGAACTTTAAATCTAATTTTAACTTCAGAAAATTAACGATTCAGTAACAAATATCGTTAAAATAAATTTTTAGGTTAAAAAATGAATTTAAAATTTAATTTAACTTTATAAAATGATATTTACGTTATATTTATAATCTAAATTAATCTCATCTTAGCAACAATAATTTGAAAAAAAAAAGACTAAATCAACTTTTTTCTGGCCACCAAATTTTCAAAAACAAAGTTTAGAAAAGAAAAACTTTTAAATTTAATTTCTGGAGATAAAAAATATATATTTTTAGATTAAGAGACTAACACAAATATTTAAAATTTTCAAATTTTAAAAAGAAAAGACATTTATCTTAAATATAAGGGATTTAATTAATAGTTAAAAAAATAAATAAAAATAGTTCATAATGAAAGTTATGTAACTGCCATTAAAATAATACAAGAGCATAGGTTATATAATAAAATGTAAATTTTCAATACAAAGTAGTAGGTAATAGATATTATAGTTGAAAGTATGGTTTTGTTATTTCTTCAAACTTAAGCCATTAACACTATAGTTTCTTCGAATCTAAGCTTGGTGAGATAGATGTGCTTACAAAAGATAAGGACAAGGGTTGGTGTGTGGTCCTGCAAACATTCGAAATAGTTGAAGGTTTAGCAATGAGTCAAATAAGAATTTTAATTAATTAAGTTATATATTTTTCTCAAGAAAAAACCATTTGAGTTACGCATTTTTTAATATATAATTTATGATTAAATTATCATATGCAAGTAGTAATATCATAAGTCTATAACCAATATCTTCTATTAGAAGACTTGACAGTCTTAAGATATGAAGGGTTGTATTGTAAATAACTCAAGTGGAATGTTATTATTATTTTTTTAAAAGTGAAATGTTTTTTTGTATCTATACTTTAAATCTCCCCAGCCTAACAAATATTGAAATTAGCATAAAGTTTACATTTAATTTATAAAATTATGACCGAAACCTAAATTATGACTTAATTTATAAATTTGATTAAATTTAATTTGTAAAATGTGTATTTTATTTAAAATATTGACAAAAACACGTTTAGGTGCAGATTTGTTGCTCTGTTTGTATATGTTTTAGATTAATTTACATTTTTAAATAAGTTAAATTAATATTTTATAAATATGAAATCATTTTGAATTTTTATTTAAATTGTTATAGTTTTTTGGACGAGGTGGATTGAAAATTATTATATCACCCTTCCGTTTTTATTTATCTTTTAAGATTATTTTTGTAAGAATTAAAAAATGCAATAAGTGTAGGTATGTAAATTATTGAAAGACTAGCAAACAAGTATAAATGATAAAAAGAATAATGAGTGTGATTTAAAACTTTTATTTTCTAAGAACGAAAATTGTATATTTGTCATACTACATAGAACCAACAAGATATAAGTGATTTTTAAAATAATATTTTTAAATGCATATGTATAAAAGTATTATATTATATTATATTATATTAGAGGATTATGTCATTGTTTTTCAAATACATACTTGCTTACAACATATCATTCATACTATTATGATTACTGTTATTCCTAAACAATTAAAGTTAAAAGTCACCCCAATCTTATCTAAAATTACATACAATATTATATTAAATAAATAATTTAACTGTTTTGTTAAGATTAAAATGTTAAAAACACTTAATTATATATTTTTTATTAATAATTGTGTTGTTGAAAAATAGTTAAAATTAGCAAATTATATGAACAAGATTTAAACAACAAATTATTCAATATTTCATATATTATTTGTTTAAAGTGACAAATTTTAGTAAATCTTATTTACTCTTGCTTAGTATTTATCCACTATGGTAGAGAATGAATATGAGAAAGTCGGATGGCATCACAAACAGTGTCTCAAATATTTTTGTATTATGTTATATTAATTTATTTATTTACAATTTTTTATTATTTAACATTCTATTTTTATTTCTTTGATTAAGATAACTTTGCTTTTCACTATAATTTTTTTTTTCACTTTTTACATTCAAATCCGAACAGAAGTTTAATATTGTGCCTGATTTTAAAAAATTAAGAGAAAAGTATTAAATAAAATGTTGTTAATATTCTTAAAGAATGTCTAGGAAAAAAAATAAAAGCTATAAATATTTGATTAAAATATAAAAAAAAAACTTACCGGACGTAATAAAAACAGATAAAAATAATAACTAATTTCGACAATTTTTGAAAATGTTTCCACTTAATTTTTCTCAGATTAAGAATGACATTGAATATTGTATCTTCTCTTCCCTTCAATTTCATCCCTACGAAAGAGGGTTAAGAAATTTCGTCCTTTTGAGTGTCAAAATTGTACTCTTCCTAATCATATACAGTAATTAATTGTTATGATTATTAAGAAATTTACTAATAGATAAAATTACGCAATAAATGACCTCGGTAACATTGGAAAACTCCGGTCGGAATCCTGTACCTATTTTTCGCCTATCAGCATTGAATTTGAATCGAAGAAACGCCCACGCACACGTTCATCTTCCTTTTCTGTTTCTCAACCCAACATCGTGTTCTTTACTTATCTTCGATCCACAGGTGCCTGATCCTCTGCTTCGGGCACACACGTTCCCAGGTTCTACCTCTCACCTCCTTTTTTTTTTCTTTTTTGTTTCTTTCAAAAATATTCCAACTTTTAAAAATTAAACCGTATTTGGCTTCTAATAATTATCGGGTATTCCTTAATTTTTCTCCTTTTTCCAATTCTCTAATAAAGTTTTTTACCTTTGCCCAAATCTTAGCAGATGCAACCGTCTTCTGATTGTTGGATCTTAACCTTGTAACCTTGTATTCGATTGTGAGGTTTCTATTGATGCTGATTGTGTTTGAATGAAAAATTCTTGCTTTGATTTAGACATATGGAAAATTGCAAACTTTATGCCTTGGGGTTTTGTTTGTTTTTTGTTTCCAAGTTAACTACAAGATTTGGATGATGTTGCTACTGCTATTGAATGAATTAGGTGGTTTCTTTGTGATGGTAACATAGTCATGATAGTTTTCTTCCGGTTGAATGGATTTTTTAATTTGCAACTTTTGATTTCGTTTTATTACCTGGTAATTGATGATACCCTTGATTCTGGATATTAGGTTAAATGGCGAGGATTAAACCTCAGGCTCTGCTACAGCAAAGCAAAAGGAAGAAGGGCCCTTCTCGCATAAGTGCTACGACTGTTTTATTTTATCTTTTGATTCTGACCTTGGTTGGGTTTTTCCTATTTGCTTCCTACAGACATTGGTCCAACAGGTTAGTGAAAGATTTTCTGTTTTAGCTGTGAAGGAAGATTCTTAGTTTGAAAAATGATGGGCGATATATTTTTATCTACTCGATGGAAAACAAACAAAAGATTTGTTAAAAAATGATACATGGCTAATTTGAGCTTTAGTTTCATCCAGACTTGTTAAGCATGAATACTACCGATGATATTTTGGATGACATTGTTACTAGATAGAGGTATTTTATAGAATAGCAGGTTCTGGCTGGAGGTTTTAACTGCTTTATTGACCGAATTCTCCCCTCATTCATGGTGATGGAACCATTTAGGTTCATTCTGACGTCAATAGTTTATGTTTTGTCTCTGGTGGACGAAAGTTTGTTTGTCGAACATGAATAAAAGCTTCTCTATTTTTGCTCTGGACATTTTAGAGTGATTTTCCTTATAGGGTGGCTAGTTTAAATGGTTCAAGCATTAGTGATATGATTTCTGGTTATTATAGTATAACATAAATACTGTTGAGTGTTGATGGTTATCTGGATGTATTTCTCTCATAAACATTAGGAACTTCAGATGAACTTTCATTTTTACCTAATAATTAATTTCTTACATGCATTCAGGTCAAGATTGCAATCAGAAAGTCATATGTCCATCTCCGAGGTACATCCTTAAATGCCTTATAAAGTGTTTTCATATTTTTTCAGTTCTTTCTTTTTTCTTGTTATCTGATGCCCATGTGGAGCATTTTATCTGAGTGCAAATTATGTCTGTGTATATGTTTGTCCATCAAGATATGGATGCTGCTAGGTCTATAGTTTTTTTCATTTATCAATACAACCACACCTCTTAATCAAACTAAACTTTTGATAGGGTGACAATAACTCTGTGGACTCCAAGAAATCTGAACTGCCTGGCTATGCTGTAAGTTTGCTCCAGACCGCTAGTAATTCCTTATTTTGGATTTTTTGTAGTTAATGGTTTCTTTGGTTGGATAAATTATTTTCTTTTTCCATTTCTTGAAATTTATAAAAATATCTCCATGTATTTTATCTGTCCCCCCTGTTCAAAGATTCTTATAGGAAACAGAGTAAAAGCAAAGTGGTTTTTTTTAATTATTTGTGAAAATAAACTTTTCTTAACCAAATAGGCCCTAATTTTGATGAAGTTTAGAATGTTTTAATGAAATTATTTTGTCTTACAAGCTGTTTTTATCTTTCGTCCTTATTATAGGTTTTAAATACCTCTAAAGGTTCTATAATAATAGAACTGCACAAGGAAACTGCTCCTGAAGTTGTTGATGAATTCATTGACTTATGGTGAGTAGTTTGTTTTCCTACAAAATTATAATTTGGAGGCTGCTGGATAATTTAGGGTTTGATTCTTGTGAACTCTTTTTTTGTTTGTCGATCTTTTTTGGACTTGTGATTGGGTTGGTACTGATGCTATTGGATAGATATATAAGTGGGAAAAGTTTATCTTTGTTGAAATGAACTGATGATAGTATTTCAAGGTATGTTTAAACTAATTTTTACTTGTCTATAATCCTTAGAAACATAAAGTTGAATAAATTGCTATAAAGTAAGATGTCTGTGCAGTAATATATTTTGATTGGATCAAGTGCGTATGTGGGTGATTTTAGCTAAAATATATTGTGGTCCTTATTTGATCCAGTTTATTATTTAGGTTTTTTAATAATGTTCAATCTCAACGCATTATGAGATTATCCTTAAGATTCAAGTTTTTTCATATTCACATCATAGATAATTTTTGTCTTTGTTGTGCTCTGTTTCATCTTTATTATATCTGTAAATAAGTTGTTTATCAATAAATGACCAATTCTAACCGGATATACGTAGAGCATAATCCAATATGAGTTGGAACATTGGGACTACAGGAGTTATAGGGTCGCTTAGTGGTAAAGTTGGAAGGGAGGATGAGAGAGGTTGTGGCTTCAACTCACTCCACTAACTTTGAAAGATATAAGATTGGTTTGAAGGGTTTGGAAGAAAGGGTGGGAGAGGTTGGGAGTTCAACTCTTCCAGTAACAAAAATACTAACAACTAACAATTATCAATAAAAAAAGAAGAAGAATATTGGGACTACAGTTGCAATTGGTTATTAGTATAAATAAGTCGACATATTCAGTCTTGTATAGCATTATTTCACATCACTACTCACTTTTATCCAGAATCCCACATTTCAACAACAGGAACTGTTTAGCATGCTTATAAAACTTGCTAGAACATTTTGTAAATTTGCACTTACTAGTGTACATGTCGGTAGAGTTATTGCAGAATATGAGTCTTCAAAGCGATAAGACTGACAGATGTGGAATCTAAGTTGAGTGTAGCTGATTTGAATGTCGTCACCTTACTTATATTGGTTTTCTAACCCATTTAGTGTGACGGATGTGAAACTAGGTTGTTTTCTACAACTTTATTGTAGCCATATAGAACTCAATATGACAATACTGTCATGCCATGCAATATAAGATCAGCACTTCATGATATGACTGACAACTTTCTGTTCAATACAACTCTATGGGTGGTTTGATGTGTCTAACTTTTGTGGGTATCAATTTATGTTGGCAGTATGTTAGTCATGATTTTTAGTGGTTTTCTACATTAAATTTGTTTGAGTCTACCTGCTTATGGATCCAACCTAAGCTACAACTTTTTGCAGTCAAAAAGGGCACTTCAAGGGGATGCTTTTTCACCTAGTAATTAAGCACTATGTGATTCAGGCAGGGGATAACCATGGAGCTGGAGCTACTGAAGATTGGAACTTGAGAGGAAAGCAACATGCTATTTCTAGGTTTTCTTACTCATCTCGTTGCACTTTTTAGTTTATGATATAAATTCTTAAAAAATTGCAGTAACTATCCAGTACTTATTTGCATAATTTTCTAATTAATGGGTTTTTGATTAACCAGTATGAAACATGAAGCATTCATGCTGGGGACTTCCAAGGGAAAACACAACCACAAAGGATTTGATCTTTTCATTACAACTGCACCTATACCAGATTTAAACGAGAAACTTATTGTTTTTGGGCAAGTCATCAAGGGAGAGGACGTTGTGCAGGTGACTGAATTTACTTTATTCATGTCATGTCTGCATTATTGTGTGTGGAGATCTATTTCACTTTCCTTTTTGTTGCTTAATTTTCCGTTTCATTTTTCTTTTCCCATTAGTCAAGAATGCTTTTTGCTCATTTATTCTTATCTTTTAAAATTAATTTCAATCAATGAAGTATAAATGTGTCATTCAAAACAGATATTTTTTTGTTGTTTTTATCTCCTTGCAGGATTTTTATAATTAATTTTAAAACTAAGCTATACTTACAAAAGATGATTGTAGGAGGTAGATACCATGCAAATCTTGAGTACTGTATAAATGAAGTTAAATATTCTGAGATTTTCTATTGTTTTTGGAATGACAGTACATCAACCTGTTTGAATATCAACTGTTACTTATGTTTCTTGTTTCTGAGAAATGATGCAAATTCAAGGAGTTTCATGATAAGTTTGATATTGAATGTAACTTAATCCTGTGGCAGGAAATTGAAGAAGTGGATACAGATGAACATTACAAACCTAAAATATCAATTGGGATTCTTGATGTTACTCTTAAACAGAAGGTCTGAAGGTTCTCTCTGCTAGATAACGAGCTGTGATACTTTTTACCTGTTTTGGGACACTGGTCAAATATTTTGTACAGGGATGAACCTTGAGGAATTCGCCTTGGTTCATCTACCAAGTGTCTGAGCCTTCATGTTGTTTTTCTTATTGGATTTTTAGTTAACACAGATTATGCAATTACTTTGTCTTGCCTCATGTCATTTTTTTTTTTAAATTGGGAGAATGAGTGGGTTAGATTTGTAGGCAGAGTTTTGAATTTTGCTTGTGAAAGCATCACATTTTTATTTGGCATTACTTTTCACCTGTAACCTTATTGAGATCAGAAGATTACTTCCCTATGTACTTCCTGACTTGATCTGTCTTCTTGTATGTTTTCATTGATGGTCAATTTGGTGGTGTGTCAGAATACTCCTCAACTTTTTAAGTTACATTTCAATTTGGTTATAGAATCCATAACCATAAACTTCATACCATTGTACCAATTGGAATTTTAATCATGATAATTACAATTTATATGTTAAATATTTTTTTTTTGTTTTTTAACTCTAAGTGAAAATTCTTTTCAAAACTTTGGATCAATTTAATTTTTATATTTAGAATTGTATGAATTTAATTATTTTTAATCAAATTTTATTAAGTTTGTATGATGTTATAGATAAGTTTCATAATAGTATTTTATGATAGTAGTTTTTTCATAATAATATTTTAGTTGTTTATATTATTTGATATAAATTAAATAGATTTAATGCAATCTGGTTAAGAAAAACCAAATTTATATATTTCTAAATATTGAGGAGAAATTAATTTTAATTTTTATATAAAGTTAAAATACATTTAATCCTAATTTTATTGATTTTAATCACAATAAAAGTAATATATTTCCAAACATTTGTTTTAATTCTTGTAATTCTTAAGCTCCTGATCTGGAATTCGTTTTGATAAGGTTTTTAAATGTTATTTCCTTTTTGCTGCATCTTACATATTCGTCATCTGTTTTTGTTCTTACATATTTGCCTCTTTGATGGGATTGATTTAAGAAAAAAAATCGAATAAATTTGAGAGATAAGGAGATAATTAAAGTATTGTTTGTTTTAATAGATAAAAGAAATGAAAGTGAAGAGATTTAAAATAAAATTTATAAAAAAAATGTGAATGATTTGATAAATATAATAGATAAAAAAAATATTTTAATAAATAAAAAAATAAGATTATAATTTTATTCTTATAATTTAAAATTAACTAAAAATAAGACGTCTTTATTTAAATTTAATTTTAAATAAAGTATGAATGATTTGTTTTTAAATGAAAAAATTTAATTAGTGTAAATAATTTTGAAATAAAACTTAATTGGTTGAAAATAATTTAATTAAACATTAAAATATAAGAAAATTATTATTATTAATTAATTATTATTGTCGATATTCTTTTTATTTAGATCTTATATTATGTTTTTATTAATATTATTTTTAAATAATTTTTATTTTATTGTCATGGTTATTATTATTATTTATTATTTATTATTTATTATTATTATATACTATTATATGTACTTATATATAAAGACGATTTCCCATTTTTTAGTGATCACATCTTTTCAATACTAACATTTAAGTAAAAGTTTTTTTAAAACTAAAATGATTATTTTTATTAATTTTACTCTTTAAATGTATTTTTTAATTTAAATGTTTTTTTATAGTTTTTTTAAACTTAATTATTTTTTAATTATAAAATTCTATGTAAAATAAATAAAAATATTTTTAATAAAATTATGAAAATTACTTATATTAATGAAATTATAAAAATTATTTTTTATTATCATAAAAAAATAATACACATATTTTCATTAGTATTATTATATAAGGACCATTCATTTAGATGTACTTTTTTTTCAAGATTATCCTTTAATACACAATTGTTTATGAATTTTATCATTTAAGTGACAGTTCCTTAAATTTTTTTTTCTAAATTTAATCATTTTTTTAAATTTAAAATATTTTTTAAACTAAAATAAATATTTATAATAAAGTATTACTTGTAAAATAAATAAAAATGGTTAAATATGTTTTTGGTCCCTTAACTTTCAGCGAAAATTGGAATTAGTCCCTCTTCAAAACTTTGGACTAATTTAGTCCCCAAACTCTAAAAATGTGTGAATTTAGTCCTTTTAACCAAATTTTGTTAACTTTATTTGATGTTTCAAGTGCGTTTCATGATAGCATTTGAGTTGTTTACACTGTTTGACACATTTTTGCTTCAACGTTCACTGATAAATGCGTTTGAAAGTTAACAAAATTTGGTTAAAAGTACTAAATTCACACATTTTTAAAGTTTGGGGACTAAATTAGTCCAAAGTTTTGAAGAGGGACTAATTCCAATTTTCGGTGAAAGTTAAGGGACCAAAAACATATTTAACCCAAATAAAAAACTATCTACAATAAAATTATAAAACTTATTTTTAATTTTATAAAAAAAATCACATATTTTCACTACTATTATTTTATAAGGACGATTCATCCTTTTTTATGTACATTTTTCTTTCAAGATTATCCTTTAATAAATAACTCTATCAATTTTATCAGTTTCTTACATTTAACAAATTTTCTAAATTTAATCATTTTTTAAAATTTAAACAATAATTTTAACTAAAATAACTATTTATAATAAAATATTACTTGTAAATTAAATAAAACAATCTACAATGAAATTATAAAAATTATTTATTATTATTATAAAAAAAAGGGAACGCACATATTTTTCACATTCATTCTTTTGATGTACACTTTTTTTTTCAAGATTATTCTTCAATAAATAACTGTTTACCAATTTTATCATTTAAGTGACAGTTTCTTAAATTTAACAATTTTTCTAAATTTAATCATGTTCTAAAATTTAAACAATTTTATAAACTAAAATAATTATTTATAATAAAATATTACATACAAACAAATAAAAACCACCTACAGTGAAATTATGAAAAAAATACTATCACATAAAAAGTAAACACACAATACATTTAGAAACTATTTGAAATAAAAAAAAATTAAAAATAAAACCATCCCTTTCACACCATTTCAATTCAAGTTAAAAATAATTAAATCCAGAATGAAATATAAAAAAAAAATCTAACATAATTGAGTAATTATGGAAATAGTTATTTATAAAGAAGACAAACTTAACTAAAATAAAACACTACAATTATCATCTCATTCCATATTTCATCTCTCAGCAACCAATTTAGCCTATAATACCAATTCATCCAACATAAATTTGAAACTCCACATGCATCAACTCAAACCCAAATACATGAAATATAAATTCCATAACATCAAATCATGTAATCAAAACTCAATTTTACAAGCAATGACATAGAATGAAGAATAGTTTCCTTTAAGACGAAGACTATTGAGAATTTTTCTTATAGTATCATCATACCTTCTAAATTTCCTATAAACACAATGAACCTTAATAATGATCAAATTACAATTAAAAAACCACAGCTATATGTGAATTCACCTTATGGAACTTAAAGTCATATGCAAACCCAAAATCTGCATACATCCTAAAAATCATGGTGACTTCTATGTATACATATTTTATATCCTAAAATAAATAATTAGGTTATTCTTCATTTCATATGCATGACCAGTAAACATTTTGAAAATAACACACGGTTAATTATTATTTTTATGTTTTATATTTATATTTTTTATTTGGTTATTTTTTATTTTAACTAAATTGAGTTTTTAATTTTGGAAAGAAATTCAACGTGATCCTTCTGTTAAATACACGTTAAGTAATCTCGTGGTAACATGGGTAAAACATATATCAAAATTTAAATCATCTTATATTTTGAAACTTCTTTAATTTTGACCCTAGAACTATAATCTAACGTTGTGGAAAAAGTTATATATATATATATATATATATATATATATATATATATATATATAAAACAATTTATCCAATAATTTAATTAAAACACTACAACTATAATCTCATTCCATATTTCATCTCTCAACAACCAATTTAGTCTATATTACCAATTCATCAACATAATTTTGAAATGCCAAAGGTGGTTGAGGATTTTTCTCATACTATCATCAAGCTTCCTAAATTTCCTATAAACACAATAAACTTTAATAAAGATTAAATTACGATTAAAAAATCGTAGTTATATGCGAACCCAAAATCTGCTGCATGTATTGAAAACCATGGTGGCTTCTATGTAAACAGATTTTACTTAGACAAAACTAACAAAAGCAAATTGGAAAGCTAAAGATGGTTTCTGCTGTCTTAATTCTTCAAAAGATAAATGGATTGGATAAAAAAAATCTAAAAGGAAGGAGAAAAGAAGGATTATATAGTGAGAAGGAATTATAAGTATTTTTACTTTCTGTGTTTTTGGTTTGAAACAAAGTCCTAAATTTTGGTTATTAAATTTTTTCACTTAAAATAATTCTTTGTCCTCTTTTAAAAAATTAAATTATATATAATTATACATACAACTTGTACCTCAGGCATGTAACCAGTATATATTCTATTAATTATAATTGTTATTCTTATTATCATCATTATTATGTACTGCAAAATTAGAAAAAAAAATGTCAACAACATTTTGGTAACATGATAAGTGTGAAAAAAAAATTGTTTTTACACTTATAAATAAACTCAATCTGGTAATTATTCAGGTTGTTACTCAGTGAAAGTTATAATAGGAAGTAAATGTTATGTAAAACATTGTACAAGAAAGGTTGTATTATTTGGACTGTTGTCAGCCAATTCTCACTAAGCGCAAGCCAAAATTTGCACTGTTAGAAGGAGGACATTCGCATAGCGCACCAGTACCTGTGCGCTGTGCGAATAACATCAATTGAAGTGCAGCAGTTAAGAAAATTCGCACAGCGACATGTGCACTGAGCGAATTAATGAAGTTAGGTGGCTTAAAAAGACATGACAGAAAGACAGAAACCATCTTCTGACACATAAGCAGAGCACGAAAAATACTGGACAACTTCAGGAGATGCTCAGGAGACACTTCAAGACATCAAGACTTCGCTTTCTGCAAGGAATTGCTGTAAAGAGTACGTTCTAGATGTCTATGAGAGACTAGTTTTTCTATTCATTGAAATTGGTTGTATGACAATACATTAATGTAATTTTCTTGTACAATATATGTGACTGTTCTTGTGCTTTTCTTGACTTACTTCTAATTATACGGAAGTATAATTATCTTTAAACGTTATTTTGTATTGGGAAGTATTTTTAGAACAGAAACGTAAGAAAAACAACTAAAAGTAACTACGCTAAGAATAACTTTTGTGCTTTTGGTCATTCTCAACATCTGAACTTAATGCAAAGTTTGTTAAATTAATTAAAGAATTAATAATTTAATAGATAA